AAGAAGGGCAAATCAAACCCAAGGCAAGCAGATCAAAGGAATAGTAGAGATTAGAATGGAAATAAAAGAAATAGAAAATAAAGTAGAAAAAGTCAGGGTAACAAAAGTTGGTTCTTTGAAAAGATCAAGAAAATTGACATTTAACTAGACTGACCAAGAAAAAATGCAGAAAGGACTCAAATTACTAAAATTAGGAATGAAAGAGTGATTGTTACTGCCAAACTTACAGAAATATGAAGCATTATAAGAGAATACTTGAACAATTGTATTACAACAAAATAGATAATTTAGGTAAGTTGGACAAATTCAGGACTTCCCTGGTGGCACAATTGTTAAGAATCCTCCTGCCAATGCAGGGGACACACATTAGAGCCTTGGCCTGGGAAGATCGCACATGCTGTGGAGCAACTAAGCCTGTGTGCCACAGCTACTAAGCCTGTGTGCCACAGCTACTAAGCCTGTGCTCTAGAGCCTGCAATTCACAACTACTGAGCCCACATGCCACAACTAATGAAGCCTGTGTGCCGAGAGCCCATGCTCAGCAACAAGAGAAACCACCAGACCCTGCTTGCCGCAATTAGAGAAAACCCATGTGCAGCAACGAAGACCCATCGCAGCCAAAAATAAAAAGATAATAAATAAATTTATTTTTTTAAAAAAACATGGACCAATTCATAGAAAGACACAGCTATGGAAACTGACACTCAAGCAGTAGAATGTCTGAATAGATCTATAACAAGTGAAGAGGTGCTCCTGGTGAATAACTGAACCTAAACATCACCTTTGGGACTGCCAATACAATGCCTATTACCACAGACTTAAGTTTATTGCTTTATGCAGTTGTTTTCAAAAATCAAACAGGAGAAAAAGTTATGAAAATATAGTTATATTGGGCTTCCCTGGTGGCGCAGTGGTTGAGAGTCCACCTGCCGATGCAGGGGACACAAGTTCGTGCCCTGGTCTGGGAAGATCCCACATGCCGCGGAGCAGCTGGGCCCGTGAGCCATGGGCGCTGAGCCTGTGCGTCCGGAGCCTGTTGCGGAGCTCCGCAATGGGACAGGCCACAACAGTGAGAGGCCCGCATACCGCCAAAAAAAAAAAAAAAAAGTTATATTGTTTTTTATATTTACCTATGAAATTACCTTTACAGATGCTCTTTATTTCTTCATGTGGTTATAGTTACTGGTTAGTGTCCTTTCATTTCAGCCAGAAAAAGACTCCCTTTAGTATTTCTTGTACGATAAGTTTTCTAGAGATTAATTCTCTCAGTTTTTGTTTATTTGGAAATGTTCTACTTTCTCCTTAATTTCTAAATAAATGGGAGAATTCCATGATGATGGATTGGAAAACATTATTATTAAGATAACATTCTCCCCCAAATTGATCCACAGATTTAATATAATCCCAACCAGAATTCCAACTGGATTGGGTGCAGAAATTGAGAAGCTGATCCTAAAATTCATATGGAAATTGAAAGAGACCCAGAATAGCCACAAAAAATTTGAAAAAGAACAAAACTGGAGAACTGGCAATTCTCAATTTCAAACTTACTGCAAAACTACAGTAATCAAGACTGTATTGTATTGATGTAATACAGACATGTAGAACAAGGGGTAAAATTGAGGGTCCAGAAACAAACCCATGCATTTACAGTGAATGGATTTTTGACAAAAGTGTCAAGACAATTTAATGAGGAAAGAATAGTCTTTTTCACAGGTAATTCTTGGATAATTGGATATCCACCTGGAAAAGAATGAAGTTAATTTTTGAAGGATACTTTTGTTAGATATAGATTCAACTGACAGTCTTTTTCTTTTGGCGTTTTAAACATGTCATTTCACTGCTTTGGAAAAAAAAAATGTAGCAGTTCCTCTAAAAGTTAAACATAGAGTTATCATACAACCTAGCAATTCTATTCCTAAGTATATACCCAAGAGAATTTTTTAAATGTATCCATATAAAAACTTGTACACAAATGTTTATAGTAGCATTATTCATAATAGTCAAAAGGTGGAAAAAGCAATTTTGTTTTTTGTTGTTCCAATTTCCAAAGCAGTCACATAATTTTACATTTCCATTAGCTATGTATGAGATTTCCAATTTCTCCGTGGCTTCACCAACACTTGTTATTGTTCATCTTTTTCAATAGATGTACCAGGAGGTATAAAGTGGTATTTCACTCTGGTTTTGATTTGCATTTCCCTAATGACTAATGATGTTCTGCATCTTTTCATGTGCACAATGACCACGTGTGTATCCTTTTTTGGAGAAATGTCTATTTAAATTATTGGTCCAAATTAAAATTGCATTATTTATATTTTTATTGTTGAACTGTAAGAGTTCTTTATATATTCTGGATATAAGACCCTTATCAGATACATGATTTGCAAATATTTTAGAAACCGTTGCCTAATCCAAGGTCAAGAAAATTTATACCTTGCCAGTCTTTGATCCATTTTGAGTTAACTTTTGTATATGGTATGAGGTAGGGGTCTAACTTCATTCTTTCAACAATATTTTGAAGCTTTCAGGGTACTTTCATTAAAGTTATTTCTAAGTATCTTGCTCTTTTTGATGCTACTGTAAGTGGAATTAACTTGATTTCATTTTTGGATTGTTCGTTGCTAGTGTATAAAAATGTAACTGTTATTTGTATAGTGAATATGCATCCTATAACTTTGCTGAACTTGTTTTAGTTCTAAATAGTTATTTTTTATGGATTCCTTAGGATTTCTATGTAGAATATCATGTCATTTGCAAATTTAAAGATAATTTTACTTCTTTTCCAATCTGGATATCTTTTATTTCTTTTTCTTGCCTAATTGCCCTGGCTAGAACCTCCAACACAATAATGAATACAAGTGGTGAGAGCGGCCATCCTTATTTTATTCTCAAACTTAAGAGAAAAATGATGACTTTCACCATTCAGTATGATGTTAACTATTGGATGCATAGATGCCCTTTAAGGTTTAGGAAGTACCTGCTATTCCTACTTTGTTGAGTGTTATATTGTCAATTGCTTTTTCTCATCTTGAGATGATCTTGTGGTTTTTGTACTTTACTCTAATATGGTGTTACACTGATTTTAGTTGAACCAATAAACTGGCAGGGTGTTGAACCACCTTGCAGTCCTGAGATAAATTCCACTTGGTCACTGTGTACAATCCTTTTAGTAAGTTGCTGGATTCAGTGTTCTACTTTTCTGTTGAGGATTTTTGCATCTATAACCATAAGAGATACTGCTCTGTAGCTTTCTTGTGATGTCTTTGATTACTTTTGGTATCAGGCAACACTGGCCTCATGGAATAAATTGGTACATGTTTCCTGTTCTATTTTTCATAAGCGTTTGTAAAGGATTCTCTTTAAATGTTTGCTAGAATTCATCAGTGGAGTCATTCTTTCCTGGGTTTTTCTTTGTGTGAATGGATAAATTATGGTATATCCATATAATGGAATATTATTCAGCCATAAGAAGGAACAAAGTACTGATGCACGATACAAGTAACCTTGAAAACATCATGCTAAGTGAAAGAAGCCAGACACAAAATGCCATATATGATTCTAGTTATATGAAGTGTCCAAAATAGGTATATCTATACAGACAGAAAGTAGATTGTGGTTGCAAGGGGTTAGGGGGAATGATCTGGGTAATTGGGAGTGACTAATGGGCACGGGGTTTCTTTTTGGTGAGGTAAAGATGTTCTGTAATAGACAGTGGCATAGGTTGCAGAACCTTGTAAATGTAACCACTGAATTTTATTTTTAATTTTTTTTTATACAGCAGGTCCTTATTAGTCATCAATTTTATACACATCAGTGTATACATGTCAATCCCAATCGCCCAATTCATCACACCACCACCACCACCCGCCGCTGCTTTCCCCCCTTGGTGTCCATATGTTTATTCTCTACATCTGTGTCTCAATTTCTGCCCTGCGAACTGAAAAACCACTAAATTTAAAAATTTTAATAATGTTTAAAATTTTAAAAATTAGCAAATTGAACCCAACAATCTATAAAAAGAATAATGCACATGACCATAGTGGTTATTCTAGGGATGAAAGAAAGACAAGCTCAGTATTTGAAATTTTGCCAGTATAATCCACCATATTAACAGTCTAAAAAGAACAACTACATGATTATATCAATTGGTGCAAAAACTTTTTTACAAACTTATTCATTTATGATAAAAACTTGTTAAACCAGAATAACAGTTATGTACATAAAATCTACAGCTAATATAATACTTAAGGTAAAAAATATTGTGTGTGTAAAGAATGTTTTGGGAAATATTTTCTATAATTTTCTTGTCTTTCAAAATAGAATGCATGTAACATTTTTGGGTATGTTATCAGTAGCTGGCAAAAGTAGGAGAGTTTTTAATACACCTACTTTGGTACATTGTACTGAGTAGTTTCTAAAAACTTTACTCATAATAATGACTTTGATTAAAGGACATGTCATTGATTTTGATACCTGACACATCATTGATTTTCTCAACCTTCTGTCTGTCCCACTAGAAATGTGGCTTTATTTTCACTGTTATATTTATTTCATTTTCTCCCTATTTTTTTATAGGTGTATTCGACACAGAAATGATTGGGGAGCTCTTATTCTAGTGGATGATCGCTTCAGGAGTAACCCAAGTCGATACATATCTGGTAAGATTCTCAGCTGGGCTTAGAGTAAGAATTAGTAACAATCTTTGGTATTTAATGACTTCTATTTTTAAAGCAAAGAATTGGATAGAGAATTTGAATTACTAGATCGAACATGGAAAAATTCACATTGACTGGAAATCTAGCCTTTTAATGCTTCTGTGTTTACAAAAAATCTTTATAGAGGAGAATCTGGTTACTGATGTAATATTAATCAAGATCCTTCAATTTCACCAGAATGTGGGATTTGATTCAGTAACATAGCAATAATTTATTTACCATTGTCACAGAAAAAGGTGTTCCACAGAAATGAGTTTTCCAAGAAATATTAAGGTTTTACATTTAAACACACAAGCAATCATTTGGTGCTTAGGATTCTTTTTATTCTTTCATTCTGGATTATTTGAGTTTTATTGTTGTATGTGTGTGTGTGTGTTTGTTTGTTTAGAAATGCTTCAGTTGTTATAGAGTTTATGTTAGTCAGAGCTAGTATTTTCTAAAAAGAAAAAAAAGCACCACTGCATGCTGCAAGATCAAGTACATGGTCATTTTTCTCCACTCAAACGAACAAATACTGTGTGCCTATAGTTTTCATCCGAATTAATACCAGGAATCCATCTGTTATTAAAGAACTTTTAGAAGTACTTGCATTTTTATTGTTATCTTTAGAGCTAAAAAGTTCATACCATACTATAATGAAAAGATGCTAATTTTTTAATTTGTTTCAGATTAGCTGTCTATGGGTATGGACTCTACTTTTTATATTTCAGAGCCTAATTATTATATGTGGTTCAATATTAAAACATATCCACCTGGATTGAAGCAGGAAATGCTGCTTTATTAGTCTTTTCTTCTCTTTCCCCGTAAAGCAAGTCAAGGCCAAGATATAACCAAAAACAAATGTTAAGTGCTTATGTTTAGTCAGCAGGTGGAGCTCAGATTCTTTCAAGTTTTCAAAAGCAAACTGACATTTTACGCTGAAAAGGCTTTCTTTTTTTTTTTTTTTTTTTTTTTTTTTTTTTGCGGTACGCGGGCTTCTCACTGTTGTGGCCCCTCCCGTCGCGGAGCACAGGCTCCGGACGCACAGGCTCAGCGGCCGTGGCTCACGGGCCCAGCCGCTCCGCGGCATGTGGGATCCTCCCGGACCAGGGCACGAACCCGTGTGCCCTGCATCTGCAGGCGGACTCCCAACCACTGCGCCACCAGGGAAGCCCATGAAAAGGCTTTCTTTGATCACAAAAAGTTCGAAATGAAAGCAATAACTATAATATAACGCTAAAATTTTTCAATTTGGGAAATTTTCATATTCTTATTTGGTATAATTATTTTCCCCAAGCAAACAAAAATAAAGAACTTTAAAGAAATGCTGTTTACGTTTTTTTTTTCTTATTTTAAAATCTAGAACTGAAATTTTTACCTTGTAGTTCAGATTTGTTGATTTTTTTGAATTAAGTATTTTTCATTATTTTCTATAAGGTTTTTATTTTTTCTGAGACTCATAAACTTTGAAATCTTATCTAGGCAATACAGCACAACAACATACAAATTCCATTTGATGACTAATTTTTGTTTAAATTCAACACGCATAAGAGTAATAGAAAAGCTCCATTAAACAAAAAAACTAAAGGAATGTATTTGAAATGGAAGTATAATAGTTCAAGTTGCTTGAAGCCCTGTCTTACCTTCCTCTCAACTTAAAATACCATAGTGACTTTTTTAATTATTCCAAAAGATGGTGTTTTAGTAACATCAGCAGAGAATATTTATTTTCTAAAGTCCAAATATCTGAATTTCATTCTGAAGTGAGTCATACTCCAAAACACCTTATACTGTTAATATGGTTTATTTTTATGCAGTTTTCACATGTCACAGGGTCAAATCTTGTCCCTTACAACTTGATTATTTATATATTAAAAAATGATTATATAATAAATATTCAGATAGGACATGATTTGCCCATAAAACAGTGTTATTCCTTTTACTCCCAGAATAGTTTGATATATTTGGAATTGGAAGGAGAAGGGAAACAAACAAACAAACAAAAAAATCTATGAGACTGTAATCTTGAATTTATTTTTGCTAAAGGAGTCAAATTTAAAAGTTGGAATAAAAGACTGTGTTGTTTAGAACTTGTATTTTCTCTGCAATTAAAAGGTAGGTAATTTTTTGTGGGGAATTATGATAAATTTGCCTTATTTCCCAGTTATTCTAAATTGACAAATAATACATTTTCCCATCTCCGTTCTACTCCCACTGCCTCTTCCCTCCATCCAGTTGGCAATCACTGCACGTAAAGAGAAATGCTACTGATACAAGAGCATATTGTACATATGAAGGTAAAAAGGCAGGAAAAATGTAGAGAACCACCCTGTATCCTCTAAATTCAAAGTAGATTACCTCACCAGAGAAGTTATCTAATTTTCTTTTCTTAATACATAATATCTTCACTGAATAACCAAAGTTTCTTTGCTGGGTTTACTTTTTGCCTTAGGACTTTCTAAGTGGGTTCGGCAGCTGATTCAGCACCATTCAACCTTTGAGAGTGCGCTGGAGTCCTTGGCTGAATTTTCCAAAAAGCACCTAAAGGTCATTGATGTATACAAAGAAGACAGAAAATCTATACAGGACAATGAGTCTACGCTTGAAGTGGCTTGTTTGAAGGATAATACCTCAACTTATTTATTAGAAGCAGCAAGCCATCTATCACCAGAATATCCTAGGGAAGGTAAAGTAAAAATGTATCTAAGAGCTACAGTGTCCTAAAATGATAGATAAAAGTCCATCTTTACCAAGAGGCATCATCTCCAGAAAGAAAAATATGAAAAGTTCTAACCATTTACATTTGGTAGAGAAGTCTTTCATTGTGTTTAGTGAAATGATATTTGTTATGCTACAGATTAATGTCCTTAAATATGTTGGTTATTGTAATATAAGGTGTTATCATAAAATAATATGTATCAGAATGGGAACAAATTTTTGAGGAGATCTACACATATTTTCTGGTTTTCCACTTAGAAGCTTTGCTACTAACTAACTTTGTGACCCCCACTCCCGAGCAAGTCACTTAACTTTTTGAGTCTTAATAGAAGGGATATCTGCCTACCTATCCGTCCAGGTTGGTTTGTAAAGATCTTATAAGATGATAAATATCACAACATTGTAAAGCACTATGCAAATGGTAATGTTTTTCTAAAGGTGATATTAAAAATTGACCTAATTTATAGATAATTGTCTTACATGAATTTCTTATTTTAGAGAAGTGAGAGTCATTTATTCTAAATGATAAAAAAATAATATTTTAAAATATCAATATACTGGATTAAAATATAATTTAGAAAATTAAAATATAGTTTAAAATATATTAGAATATAATACATCAGGGATTAGCAAACTATGGCCTGTGGACCAAATTTGGCCTGCTGTTCTTGTAAGTAAAGTTTAATGGAATACAGTCACACCCAATCATTTATATATTGTACACAACAGTAGGGTTGAGTAGTTGTATGTGTTGCACTAGAACAGCATAATTGAGTAGTTGCAACAGATACAATGTGATCCACAAAGCCTAAAATATTTACTGTCTGGCCTATTATAGAATAAGTTTGCCAAACTGTTCTGTATCATTGGATATCATTTTAATTGTTTTAATTAATATATATTAGTAGTTTAATATATCACTTTTTAAATATTTATTTTATAGTATATGCTTCTATCCTAGCTAAATGTCATAGTGAATTCTAAGCCATTATACTGATAATCAGGAAAGCTAGGTTCTAGTCCAGGTCTGATTACCAACCAATTCTATAACTTTAAGCAAATAACTTATTCTTTGTGGTTGTCAGTTTCCTTAAGGGAATTAGTCTAGGTCAGTTTTTCTCAGTCACTGGTTAGTGGATTTTTAAGGCCCTTTTACAGCCTGTTCCCTCCTTTACTCATCCCTCTTCCTTTTTACCCTTTCTTTTCTTGTTCACTTCTGAGGTCCCTGGTGTGGAATTTGATAGTTTACCAGACAGCATTATAACTTGGGCTGGGAACCACTGGAGACCTAAGGTTCCTTTCAGAGTTAACATGTTGTGCTTTAAGATGGAGTGCTTAGAATGCTTCCATTCTAAGATGGAAGTCCTGCTACTACTTGTTATGGGCTCTCAATTATGTATCCTATACAGTTATTTCAGTATTTCTAACAAAAATTGTTTTAATATAACAAATATTACATTAGGAGCAGAAAGTTAACACTCATATCTTTGTATTTGTAGATGATCCATTATTATTGGAAGAGTCTGCCCAGGCAGTAGGAGCAGAAAAAATTGTGATTTCCAGATCCACAAGCCCAACCTTCAACAAACAAACAAACAGAGTTAGCTGGTCTGGCAGTAATTTTCTGGAACAGTATCTTACTGGTAAAATTCTGACTGGAACACCTAAGTTTAGGTCATCAGAGGACTGTGCCTCTAATTCTTCCACTTTCAAAACAGAAAAGGGACGTGAAGCAGTTTTGCCGCTCACTGATAAATATGAGTCCTCCACTCTGACAGTACACACATCACTTGGACCGTGCCCTCAATCAGAAACCATTGTTCCATCAATAAAGATTAATGCTACTCTCCTGAATCCAGAAGATCCAGACATTCAGTTATCTCTAGTAAGTGAAGAAGCTGAACTTTCTACTTCAAATACAGCTTTTGAAACAGAAGCAGAGGATGAATCTATCTATTTTACACCCGAACTTTATGATCCCATAGATATAAATGAAGAAAAGAATGAACTAGTTGGAACTGATAGAGACAACAGATTGGCTAATAATTCAAATTGCATTTTAGCTGAAGATCTTTTTGAAATTAAAACTATGAAAGGAATGGATTCAGTCAGAGAAATGAAAGCTGAGGATTGCACAGGCACAAAGTTGAATAGACTCATGCATATTAAAGAAAGTAAAGTTGATGACATTGGTAGTAATGTAAAAACGACTCATATAAATGAATTGGAACTGGGAAAAAATGCATGAAATGGATATAAAGAACTTTAAACAGTCTCCTCCCAAAAATAAAGATGTGTTCCCTGGTGTTAGGTAATAATACTTAACTGTCAAGGTATAAAAACATGTCGTCATGCTTATATTAAACTCTATTGTAAATGATAATTTGTACATTGGATAAGTGACATAGCTTTTTTTTTTAATTTGAGATATATAATTCACTTTAATCCAAAGTCTATATTATGTTCAGAAATAAAATTTTACTATTCTCAAGTTATGATAAATTGATTAATAAAAAATATTTTTCTCCAAGTCTTCCTTAGCTAAATGCAATATTAAATTAATCAATCTGGAAGATATGTAGTTTCCTAAGGCACTTTAAATTTCACATAAATATTTGTATTTTGTAGTCCTCTTCATCCATTTGTTTTCATACTGATGTGTAAAAATTAATATCAATCTAATCCAGTCACCCCTCTGTCATGTTTCACTGTAGATTTTACCTCAGATCAGTCTGAGGTGTTTTTTTTTTAGAAATCAGTTTTCTTGAAAAGTATATTCCTGTATTAAACTGCCTACTTATAAGTAATTAAGAATTAAGGAAGAAAACTACATGCATTTTTAATTGAAATTGTTTTACATTTTTGTTTGTTAAACCAAAACCAAGCATGTTTTAAACAAATTTATGTAAAATTATAAAATGCCAAATGAAGGACTCCAAATTTTCAATTCTAATTATTTAGCTTCATCACCATTGTGGAAAAAAGTGACATGTTCTAGCATAAAGGCTTCAGTTATGCAACTAAGATAGAAAACTTCAAATATAAATTTAATAAGTAAAGCTAAACATGTAACTGTAGCTGAGAACTGTTCCCTTATAGCTCAGTAAGCATTTCTGTAAATTTTGACTCTTTGTTTTTGTGAATGAAGCTACACTTCTGATCAAAAATGGTTATAAAAGTAGCTCTTCTCTACCATCATTCCAAAAATACATTCACCAATCTTTTCCAAGAAACATCTGTTACTCAATAGACATTTAGCCTTCTTGGAGTGATTTGAATTGAAATTTTATGAGTTGTTCAAGTTGTTGATGCAGTTTATTATTTTCAAGTCAAAATTCTCAGCAGTCAGGTATCTTTTATATTCATTTGGAACAATGATTTATTATATATGCATATGTTTACTTTCATTTTGATGACATTTATATTGAATACAGCTTCGTTGTTTCTATAGCATTGGATGTTACAACTCTAAGCATAGTTCAAAGAAATTTAAATTGATAATTTACCAGTTAAAGAATTTATCTGCAGATGGGATATATTCAGTCCCACCTAGTATTAGATCTTTTTCTTAGGTGATCAGTAAAAAGTTTCAAGCACTGGATTAGAAGGTAATTTTTAAATTGTTTTGAAAGGGTGAAATCATTTGTCCTCTTTGGAATAGTTCTTAATCCACACATAAAGGGTGGTGTGGTAGTAGAAAAAATACCAGGTGGAAGACAAGAGACTTGGGCTCTATTCTTGGCTCTGCCACTAATTTGCTAAGTCATGTTGGCAATCACCATGCCTTTTGGGGAATTAATTTCATCTGTGAAATGTGTAGTTTAGTACTATAAAATCATGCAAATCCCTTTCAGCTTTAAAAATCCATAATTTAAAGGAATATATGTTGACATTTTATTCTGAATCAATTTTCATTTGCTTTAGTTGCAAAATGCTTAAAATAAAGCAAACCATTTGTATAAAAGGTAACATGAATAATTGTATGAATATGTACATAATAACTTGGGAAGCAAGTATTTATTTTACCAGTGCTGCAATTAAAATATTTTTGAATCCTTAAAATTGCCCTTAGAAGATTTGGTAAACTACCTGAGAAAAATCAAACACATTATTTTTTAGTCATATCTTAGTGTTATTATCCAGCTTGATCTCAAATACCATCCCTTTTCCTAGATATAATTTATTCTTTCCAAAATCTAATTCTCTCCAAGGCTAAAATTTTCCATTACTGAGAATGTACATAAGAGATGTGGCACAAGCTTTTAGTAATTCCGAGAGGTGTTTCAAAAATTTTGTACGATGGTATCATGGTTGAATCAGGTATATAGTCTCCTCAGATCACAGCTTTGACCAGGTTGGTATTGCAAGAAGTAAAGTCTAGCCTTTATAAAGAGTGTGAGGTAAAACATTTTCATTAGTGATAAAATACTTTTTAAAGAGGTATTTTAGAAAGTTTAAGTTAAAACATGTAAAAGCATTTAAAAGAGTATCTGGGGCTTCCCTGGTGGCGCAGTGGTTGAGAGTCCGCCTGCCGATGCAGGGGACACGGGTTCATGCCCCGGTCCGGGAAGATCCCACATGCCGCAGAGCGGCTGGGCCCATGAGCCATTAAAAAAAAAAAAAAAAACCGTGTTAAAAGAGTATCTGGCACATGGCAAGCCCTCAATTATTACTTGGTAAATCAATCATGTATCTGGAGTACACTCTTGCTTTATACAAAGATTTCCCTAATGATGATAGATAGATAGACAGACAGACAGATAGATAGGAGATAAACTGACAATAAAGAAGCATTGTATAGTAGGAAGGGTAAGTTACTTGTCTCGTTTATTTTTTAAGCCTGAGATATATAAGATAGAAATTGTTTATCGAGTAATTTGCCTTACCTATTCCATGCATATGAAATAATCATCTAATACTGAATTTATTTAAGGGCTGAAAATACATAGAACATACAGGCCACGAATCAGGAAAACTACCAGCTGGAGAAGGGGCTTGGTTCATGGAAGAAAGGTACATTGTGAAGAGTAGATGCTTCATGACTTGACTTTTAAAGTTTACATGAATCATTTAAAACCTTTAATAATTGTGTTGGAAATTAATGACAACTCTTTGTGCTACTACTATGCATTTAATTATTACGTGGTTTTTAATTTTGTATTGTTTCTAAGTTCACATGCTTTTCCATATTATTTTTCTGCAATATGACCTTCTCATGCTATGTTCCTGTAGTAAAACACATTCAAAATATTTAATTCTTTGAAATTGTTTATAAAACTTCATGAAATCAAAACACCTACTGTAAAATCACTTGAAAGACTGGTTATTTAGTTATTTAATCTCTGATGGCATTATTTTGATATTTGCTTACTACACAATTATTCTTGCTCATGATCTTTTTAGCCTCAGATTTATCAGTAAGCTGCACAAGATTTTACTTTAACTGTTACGAATTTGTGGTAGAGTCTTGTCTATTTTTATAGACAAATGCAGTCAATTTTTTGTAAATAAAAAGGCAGTATTAAAACTGAACTTTTTCATAATAAAAAATAAATTTAATACCACATCAAACAGTGAATGTCTAAGGGAGATAAAACTTTAATATAAAGTATCTGTGCAGCGATTAAACATAAAGACATCACTTCAGGAAATGGAAATTTAAATAGATGACCTAGGCTTATGATTCTCTAGCCTGAAACAATTTTCATGTCTACCAAAAAAAAAAGCATTTTGTTTCTTAAGGTTTCATTTGATAGACCATTAGCTGCCTGGCTTCCTGTACTCTACAATGGGGCCTTGTTGTAATATCCATGTGATCTGAGCCAGTGGATCACCTTATTGGTGAAACCATCTTATAATGAAGTGCTTTCAGTAACTGAACTCCTGGACAAAATCCAAAACAACCCATCTTATACCAAATTCTACTCTATAATAAACAAGTTTCAATGTATTACAAGGAAAACAAAAATTGTATTCCCAGAAATTAACCTTTGAAAATCTAATGGTAAATTCTGATTAAAAGGAATATTTGTTCACAAGGCACAGTGAGGTACATATTTTAGTATGCTTTATAGTTTGTATTTTTTAATTTTGGTCTTTTGTGATTTTGATTCTCTTGTGCTTTTACCCAAAATTTCACCATTTCACATTATTTTACATCTGTATTTACAAAGCTTAATTTAAAAGGTTTCCTTTGTCTCCTTTCTGTTACAAAGTACTCATTGTACAGGTGGCATGTCATGTATGTAAGCTAAGATGCCATTGTCTTTTATGTATGATTCATATATAGTGAAACGATTTAGAGATATTAAATACTGATTGTTGTTATTTTAGATCAAGAATTGTCTTGGTATATTTTCCCTTTTTTTCAAACTAGTGTTATGGTATTCATGTTTAAATGTTAACCATCCTTTCAAACATTGATCTCTTTTATTGTATCTGTTGTAAAAGGACCCAAGTAATCCACCTTGCCAGTCAGGATTTTATTGCTTGTGGTTACCTAAAGCAGAAGGCAGAAGGAAATATAAAAAATTACTCTGTGCCATCCTTAGTATGGACCAACCTAAATTACAGTAAGGTAGATTGATATATTAATATTTCCATATTTCAGTCTTTAAAGTTGATTGGCAATATACATGGGCTTTGTTACCATTAAACATGGAAACATGTTCTGATACCACCTGCTGACTTACTTTGGGCAAGTTACTTATCTTCTCTGAACTTATGTTTTTTCACCTTAAAATGTTAATAAATAATAATTTCATAAGAAATCAAACATTATGAGTATCAGATGCAATAGAGTGCATAAAAGCTTTTTTTTTTTTATATCAGACAAGGAGACAGATAACAGAATTGGGGTTCAAAAGTATGAGTTTGAGTTTTGGCCCTGCTATTTACTGAGTGGCCTTGGTCATATTATTTTAACTCATTGAGCCTCAGCTTTATTTTCTGGGGGTGAAAAAAGTGAGCAGTATCTACCTAAGAAAAGTATTGTGATGATTAAATGAGATGATATGCGATATGTGAAAGTACTTTATAAATGTTGAACCACTGTCCAAATGGTAGTTGTTAGGAAACTGCAACAATAATCTAGTAGAATTGTTTTCTCAGTATCCTGAAATTGCACCTTCAAAAGGACTAATAAACCTGTTAGAATTTGGTCCAAGCGCTGAAAGGCACTTGGAGCTTTATTAAAAATTCTGTGTAGTTAAATATTGTGAAAATGTATTTTACATTTTTTACATTTCATTTTTATATCTTAAAATGTGTGCACATTACAAACAAAAATGTCATCAGCAGAACACTAAAATCTGTA